CCCCAAAACCCCAAAACCCCAAAACCCCAAAACCCCAACACTAAATCATGATTGAAAGTTAGCTGAAATTTTAGAAGGAAGACTTATTTTGTAAGTGAAAACTTTGAGAAATGTCTTTTGTTTGAGTGTAATCTAGGTCAGTTAAGGAAGGAGAAGAAAATTAAGAAAATATGGAGAAATTAGGGGTCTGCTTGTTTATTGGGTTTTTATTTAGTGCATTTTAGACATTTAAAACTGATGAGGGGCTTTTTATAGAAGATATTTGTAGCGATAGAAGATTGTTAGACCCTTGAAGTAAGGAATTGTTTAAGGATGTTAGATAAGAGGATATGGAATAATGTGAAGGGAAGTAGGGATCAAGATAAATGGGTGAAAATTGAGCATACATAAACATTTAAATAATTGAGGGCAATATTATTCAAACCAAAATATGCAAAAACAAAAACCTAAATTGGGTAGTAGAAGATAGATTTTATTATTCTCTTTACCTTAGTTGCCACCTCACATCAAGCTTCTCTCTGTCAATTATCAATTTCCAACGTCTCATTGCCCTAAACACACTCTCCCTTCAACCCCAAAGGTCCAAAAATTCCTCCACTATAACTTCTACCACTTCTTAACCCCGACCAAATCAGTTAATTTCTTATGTAAAATAAGTTCATAATTTATCGCAAAAGTCTTAAATAGACTTTCTCGTCTGCCTCAGGGATGCCTGAGGAGGAGCCAGGGGCTTAGACCTTTCGGAATTTTAGGAAAGCTGATGAATTTGGAGAGAATGAAAGGGGTAAGAGAGTAATAGGCGGCTCTTTGTTTGGCTCATCGAGGTTTTTCATGTCTTGTTCGAGGTAGTCATTGTCGAAATCATGGTTTTGGTTGATGGGGGAATAGCTCATTTTTATGCCTAGGAAGTGTGAGATATGGGATTAGAGGGGGGGTTTGGAAGGTTAGAGGTGTTTATTTCAGGAAGTGTGTTTTAAAGTTTAGACATAAAGTTTTGGTCGTAATGGGTTGTGATAGGAAATAATATTTAGAAGTGGATATAATAGTCTTAAATGTGAGTTTTAAATGTGTTTAGAGTTTTACAAGAAGTTAAATATCAAATCTTAATGGATTCTCTTTCTAATAATAAGTGATAATCACAAGAAACATTTTACAAAGGCTCAATATTTTACACTAGAACTACAAGTTTCCTCAAGCCAGGCCAAAAGCCATCCTATTAATAAATGCTCTCTAATAAAAGAAGGCTATAGAGTATTCCATAAATCATGACTTAGTTAAATCTAAATCACAATTCTCAATATCAACAACACACTTTCTCCATCCTCAAAATTTCCCAATAAAAGTCTAAATTCCAGCCTAAACCTGCATCTTGTCCCTAACCCATGCTAAAAACCCCCTAAAGAAAGCCACAATACCTAACAGCTTAAGCTCTAAAACCCCCTTCTATAACATCTCCCATAAAAAGCTTACCTTTATCCTTCTTAACAAACTTCTTCTTCTTCGGATGTTTACCCTCAATTTTGTTACTGACTGCTATTAGACCATTCGATATCAAGACAGGCTTGTTGTTATAGGAGGATTTAGCCTTTCTGGAGTCACTCAGTCCATACTTCTTCTTTCTCTTCTAAAATATCGATAGTTAGTACCCTTCTGAAACCACAGAGTTCCAAGAGAAGTGAAATTTGTTGGTCTGTAATTTGGTTTTAATATTTTTAATTTTCTTAGTGTAAATGGATATGTCAGATATTTGGAGTTACCTTGATAGAGAAATTACTTGGTTCACTTCATATTTTCTCATGGTGAGAACTGAAGTTTACTAATTTTACATTCAGCAGTCTGTTTTGGGGGGTTAACGAGAACTTTTCAAGCGAGCGATGGGAGGATTCTATGGTTGAGATTTTATTAGATACCGTCTTTATTTCGGCTACTACGGTTTTGAGATAACATCATCTTCCGTTCAACTTCTTCCCTTAAAAAGGAGTCTCTTGGCTGAACTTTCTTAATCCGTACCTCAGTAGGTGAAAGTTGTGTATATCCAAAGAAGGGTTCGAACTGCCTTCTACGAGACTCCTTAAAGTTAGGTTTAACAAGGCTAGTTGATGTATTTTGGCACTTATTTTTCCTCTTTTTCTATTAACCCTATAAATTAAGTTCCTGTTGCTTACGAACTTCGAGTTCGTTCTTCATTCTTTTCATAATTTTGTCCTTTGCCAGGTTGTGGCTTTTAAGCCTGTTACTACCCAATGCTCGTTTGGTTAGATTAGAAGATATCTCATTTTCTTGCTCGGGACTATATTTTAGATCAGTTGAAATTTGAGTCTGATAATTGTTTTATTTTGAGTAAAATGGAGGAAGATGATAAAAAATATCAAGCTGGGTATGTTTGTTGTGAAGAAATAGAAAATTTCGCATAATTAGGGATATGATTTGCATAATCTTTATCAAATCAGCATCTTTTGAGACTTTGGAAATAAAAGATTACTTAGATAGGAGTTTTAAAGGAAGAGGATGAGTATAATATTTTAAGCAAGCTTTTCGTTATTAAAATATTATATAAAAAATATAGAGAATAATCGAAAATAGAAATCATACACTTCAAATTTCGTAGTATCTTATGAATTTCTGTATTCAAGAAGATGTCTATGACCTTTAAAAATCACTACTTCTAAAATCAAGATAATAATGCTATTTTAATCAGAAATCAAGCTAAATACCCACCTAAACCATCCAATTCCAAACTTATTAACATTTACAATCCCCTAGCAAAAATTTTGCAACAAAAAGTGAACTAAATACTAACCTAACCTAAACCCACATCCACCTCCATATCTTAACCCCTCCAACTCCATTGCCAATAAACCCACCCAGCCCCTTCCACTCCTCCAACCTCCAAAACTCCTTCATCTCACTAGCCCCTCAAAACCCCTAAGTTTCCCTGCTGTCCCTCCAGAATTCCCACGTAGAAATTCTTTGCTGGAATTGTCTAGAGGTTTTAGGCCAGCAGCCTGGTTCTGAAATTTTTTTGTTGGTACTTTCTGAGGGTTGTGTTTGGAGGATAGGGTTAGGATAGGTTTGGGTGGAGGTAACTCAACTATACCATCCTATACCTAAATACCACCCTTATACTACCTTCCTCTCCCTCTACCCTTACCTCCTACATTCTTACCTCTTCTTAAAATGACTCAAATACTCTTGAAGGTCTTCCATTAAAGTCTGTTTCTTTATTTTCTAAAAATATATTAACTTTAAAGTGCAGTTCGGGGTTTTGGGGTTTTGGGGTTTTGGGGTTTTGGGG